ATGCCTTGCAACTCGTCTTCCTCGATTTCTTCAGACAGTCGCTCCAAGAATATTCGAAACTTGTTCAGTACGGTTATTCCGCTTACAACAACCCGAGAATCGCTATGAGCCATGAGTGCGAGCTATCAACCAAGTAAAACCGTCTGAATGTTGCCTTCATCTACTTTTCAAGTTCATGTCAGTTTCAGTAAGAATCCTAGGCATCATGCATCAGAAGTTAACAAGAATTGGCTTACCAAGACTTCGTTGGTATGTTACTGTAAGTGAAGGTCCTGTATCTGTTCCCTTCAGTGACACTCTGGAGCTACAGTTCGCTGATGATCTGAAATCACTTCATAGGAGCTGAAACTATTACTTATGTAAAAATAAACTGGTGAAGCACCTCGCCAAACATTAGTATTAGTGGTATTTCACGTCCATTTCCGCATTCGTCCATCACTTTCGGTTTGATAAATTATTTCAATTGGTCCATTTACTATCATGTGACAGCATTGGAAGGAAGAAGAACCCCCTATCAGGTTATAAGATATGACTATTACACCACACATCTGGTTTTGTAGCCCGTAGCCAGGGTACGTTGCCGTTAGTTTACGGTGTAAGATTTTACTCTAGTAACTAACGGCGTGATTTCATCCAGTCGGTATACATGCATACTGGAAGATTTTACGCAGTCTTCATACTGTTACATTAACGCCGTTAACTTACGGCGTAATTATTTCTTCCAGTCGGTAATATATATATATCCTTGATGTTATGATATCAAAAATCATCCATGACAAATAAAAATAAAGAAAATCCAATGCTATCACGTTACCTGGTGATTCACTCTGTCTATAAGCTCTTACACGTTCAACAAGATCGGGCCTTCTAACACTCGTTAAAAGTTTCTCAAGGTAGTCTAACTTGTCCTCTCCCAAGAGACCCTGATGTATCATTTTTGAAAACAAATCTCTTGGTTTGCTACACTTCTCCAGATATCCTAACGGGATGGATCCCTGCAGTATAAATTTCATGCCTTGAAACTCGTCTTCCTCGATTTCTTCAGACAGTCGCTCCAAGAATATTCGAAACTTGTTCAGTACGGTTATTCCGCTTACAACAACCCGAGAATCGCTATGACCCATGAGTGCGAGCCATCAACCAAGTAAAACCGTCTGAATGTTGCCTTCATCTACTTTTCAAGTTCATGTCATGCTGCAAATTCACGAATCAACAGAACTTCTATCGCCTTTCGCGGAAGGAGTTGAGGTTGTCGGAGACACATGTCAGAGGATGACTGTGAACATTATGCCAAGAGCTAGAAGCACCGCCTGTAGTGATTTTGGGACATTGATCGGTTTACATGATCAACGCAACCTTGAATGACTTTTTAAATCGGTACTTAGCAACAACCAATCACAATGTAGAGAATATAGTATAATAGAGTGATTTCTTACAAATTTGGCAGAGTAGCTTTTTACACACCCGTTGTTAATAAGCGAATACGAGAGTAGAATAAAACAGATGGATTGAGTCTAGTTCGTTAGAATTGTATCCCTAGTAAACAGGGCAAAGTTTACGAAAGAGGTCTCTTTTGCATGGGTTGTGCCAACACAGTCTCTCTCTCAAAAGGAGGATAATCATCACTCGCAATATCTCCTCAAATGAAGTAATATTCTTCATTTAGTTTGACCGTGGTTTCAACAAATAGACTGGGTAAGAACAAGGACCTTAGGTTTCCCAATTACATTGTCTGAAATACAAGAATCAAGTCATCTTCAGGTAGTCATAGGATAACATGATTTTAAGTCATCAAATTGACATTTTCCCTTTGTATTTTCATTGATATTTAACAGCATGTATGACTGCATGAAAACCTGAAGGCAAGTTATTCTTAAAAATATGAGATGGTCATCTACTATATATATAAAATTTGTACAATTAATAAATGAGATTAACTTGTGCCTGTGTTATTTATTGTATTTTTTTCATAAAAATTGCTATTATAAAAAAGAAATCAAACCTTTCATATTTGAACACCAACCAGAAACCCTTTGCTTATCGCCTAATAATGCCTGCTTTAGTTTTAGCTGATAAAGAGTAATTTGATGCTCTTAGCTTGTGTACTGTGCCATAAAATAAGCAGCGGTAGGTAGACGACCAAGGAACAGGAAGAAATTCTTGAAAAAAGTGATTCCAATGTAGTATAAGACTAAAATGGAATGCCAAAAAGTAAAATGCAAAAACCACGGTAAAAATTGGGCGAAGTTGACTAAATATGCAAGCTGTACCTCTAGCCGGTAGTTTTTCCTAAGCCACCTTGGATCCTACCAGCTAGAGGTACAAGACCAAATGAAAAAAATAGAAGTAAATGTACTCTTGTGAAAAGTGATTCCAAGGAGTGTAAGACTAACTTGGAGTGTAGAAAAGTCAAATGAGGAGCAAACCATTATAAAGATTGGGCGAAGTCAAGCTGTACCTCTAGCCAGTAGTATTTTATGAGCCCTTTCAGATCCTATTGGCTAGCAGTACAAGACCAAATTAAAATAGAGAAAATGTAAATTTATTCTTGAAAACATGAGTGTAAGACCAAAAAAAAGAGTGTAAGACTAATTTGGAGTACAGAAAAAGTAAAATGTAGTAACAATTGGGCAAAGTTGACTAAATATGCAGGCTGTACCTCTAGCTGGTAATATTTTCAACCCCTCCTGAGATCCTACCGGCTGAAGGTACAAGACAATAGAAATTTCATCTTAGGGATCTTTCTACCCAGTAGCACTATGACAAGGGCATTATAGTGGCAATACTATTCATGAATTTTGTTTACCTTTGCAAGCCTAGGTCTCAGCGGTGTTAAGCTAAAACTCTGCTGAACAAGAAACCTAAGATCGACGAGGGTGAAGGAAGCAGCCATACAAAATTTAGCGAAACCTCCTTGATTTAAACTCTACAATGTACTCATCGCAACTAAAACATATAATAAGTATTACTCATAAGGAATTATATAACTTAGATTTCGAAGAAATAAATTCCCTAGGTGTTAAGAGTCCCAACAGTTATAACTTTAGGAAATCTTTTAGCATCAATGTAAATAAGCCCAAAACTGAGTTAGGTTGTAGGACCTTCTCACACAGGGCTGCAATTGCCTGGAATTCTTTATCTGACAAAATTGGATCTTTCTCAAATCCTGTAGCTTTTAAAAATTGACTGAAATTGTCAAAACTTGATATTAAGAATATTAATCTAAGTTTGAGAAAGGAGGCTCTTCAATTTACAACAAAAGCTCTGATTATTATTATTATTATTGATATTGATTGTTTATATATATATATATATATATTTAATAAATAGATACTTATATTATATAAAGTAATTTGATTTTATATTTATTTACAATTATAGTAGGTCCACATCAGCTTATAAGTTGCGTATTCCTGACCAGCTTTACTAAATAAAGTTATGTATGTATGTAATAATGTTCATGTCTGGTTCAATCACATCGCTAAAACTGTTGGTAAAACTGGAACAGTTTGCCATAGTGGAATTGGCCGACAATTTCCGATAAGCGCCCGACTCAGAAAGTCGTCACTAGTGCCGCTCGGGTGTACCTATAGCCGGTAGTTAGGATTTAGGCACAACCCTTTGCTAACAACGCTTGAATAAGAATAAGAACAAGAGAAAGATAATGAAAAAATTACCACATGTTATCCCCTGTGATCTGGATTTCACCCAATTTTCTGGTTTTCTGAGGTAGCATGCATGGCCCAAAACCACCCCACAAACGTGCACCCCTGGTGATAGTTTTCCAATGGAAAATCTTTGTTGATTTGGTCTACACTTAGTATCTTGGAAAATTTCCCCCTTGCCTAGCTTGGATGTAAAAGATACCACCATGAAAGACACAGACATCAGCAGTGGAACATAATCTGTTGCTCGTTAGAGTCGGGTGAGCTGGTGCAGTAGTCATTGCGTTGATTGGCACTTCAATCACAAAAAAAATAATTTGAAAACGACTAAATTGTCCATGTAAATACTAGGGAAATGTGTGTCAATGAGTGTTCTTGCCACTTGAGGGTTTTTCCATGCACATATCCTACTGCAAAGTGGGGCTTCCACACTCAAAGGCTTTCGTGTAACTTTTTCAGTAATTAAACTAAACCACTCCTCCCGTAAAGGGTAAATCAAATACATGACATCATCGATGGCCACCCATTGTATTAGAAATCAAACAGAAAATGTTCTCCAACCCAAAAAGATAAAAAAAACTGAACAACCTCTATCTTAACTTACTTTTAATTAGGAATAATAACTCTGAAATAAGAATAAAGCTTGCTGAGCAGGTTCAATCTTCAATGCACACAAGTTGAGCAACCCTTGATGCTTTCATCCTGAGTGTTGTAATAGCAAACTTTTTGTTGAACTGGGGTTAACCAATAACATCCATTTTGCAAAGTCTTCTTCTGTCAACTGCTATATTAATCAATCATTTAATGAATATGCAAAGATTTAATTTCTATTTACATATGGCAACAAATGCGGCCTTTACAGTGAGCAACACAATAAGTGCAATCACAGCAACGATACAAAAAGAGGGAGAGGGAATTGGAGAGAATTTGTGTTTACAGTAGGTAGCATTTGACAACATATCCCATAATTTTGTTGATGAATGGAGGATTTTGATCGGTGGAAAGTATTGGACTTTAAAAGCTGTGGCTCAGAGAAAATCTTAACAAAATTTGTTACCTGCACCAGGATCAAGTAATCACCATGTGATTCAGTCACCCATAGCACTAGAAATTTTCCTAGGAAATTTCATCATCATCTGCCACATTTATTATTTCTGTGGCTTAATCTACACTACTCAAGTACTTAAAAATCACTGCTTCTTAGATAATTTTCACATTTGAATTCTTGAAGTATAAGAAATCACAAAGCACAAAGACAGTCATAATCTTTTACATAGCAAAAAAGAAACATTTAATTCAGAGAACAAATACTTCTGATTGAATCAAGTTGCAAGTCTGTTAAAAATTTTAGTAGTGCAATTGGCTTGTTAGCACTGTATCCTTAAATATTTATTTTAAAATTAGACCAAGACAATAAAAGCTTTCTTTGAACACTACCTATGGTACTTTCCCACAATGGATTTTTAAGATATGAAGATATGCTTTTTAAGATGTGTTTAAAGTAACATCCTCCTCCAATGACATTTGATACCCATCACTGCACTAAAATATACAGCCCTTATGTATGACAAAAATGGAAGCAAAAATGTAATAAAAATAGATATTGGGTAATATGTAAGACTATATAATGTAATCTCTTCATTCCAAACTTTTGTACATTTTTGTTATATTTACATGAAATCAAAGTATGTCAATTCTTACAAAGTAACATAACAGCTATAAAATCAAGGATATACAATTTAACTTTGGATACATTTGGCTGACATCATTCACAAAAAAAAAGAAACTTTTTTCAGGCATATTCCTTCTAAGTTCCAGATATAATGCAGCTGCAGCCATAAACTGTGTCTTAGTCCAATTTTACACACTATTAAAATTGTATATAGATGATTGATTTCTCGGAAATTCAGTCCTATCATTCATTGCACTGACAAGCCCATAGAAAAATTGAAACGTACTGGGCCGGTTATTTAAACAAGGTCTAACCCAAACCACAGTTTTATACATTCAGTGCACCACAGGCATTCTAAAGTATATAAGACGGTTGATTTAATTATACAAATGCCCTTCTGCTATTAGCTTTCAGCCCTCTTTATACTGTTCACAAAAAGTAAATGCTCAGATAAAAAGTCCAGAAAAATTGAGGATTGTTTAGGATGTGGTTTTGTTAAATAATGGCTAACCTTTGTTTAAATAATCAGAAAACTATGTTCTGCTTTCAGTTTATTTCATAAAAAAAAAGCAAAAGGCCGCGCTCTCTGTTAGTTTACCTGCATAATAATCCACAAGGAATGTTAGAAGAACACTTAAAAAAATTTGTTAATCACTTGTCTCCATTTCACAATTTACAAATTTTTCATGTGTTTTCCCAAAATCGTACGTGGATTTTTGCAAGACTGATACATAGAAAGTGCAGTCTATTGCTTAAATACTTTTTAGTGTCCAGTGGACAATAAATGTTTTATAACTTAATTATCCCTTGCATTCTCATGCTTAGGCTTCCTTTGGCTATTTGCACCACAACATAAAAAGTGCAGCTAATAATAAGATATGAAAGGTCTTAGTTTAGAAAGTTAAGAAATAAGATTCTCAATTTACTAAACTATCAAGAGTGATGGCTAAAAGAAATCCCAGGGTGCATGTCAACCACTCCTCTCCCCTCTTTCAGAAGGGGGATCTTGTTGGTCATGTAAGCGCTGACTGTGAACTGGCATCTTCTGGTTTTCATGTTAAGGTATTAGTTAGTCAAACATTAAACTCTTACTTGTGGTACACCTGACATTTCAAAAAAGTTACTGGTATTTCACAGTCAGAATACTGTGGAGCTTTCCATCAATTTTCTCCTTGGTTTGCATTAAATTTTCCTTTTTTTTTCTTTTTCAAAAATATTGAATAGATGCAAATTCATTTGAAACAAAGGATAATTACATTTGAACCAAGGGTAAAACTGAACCATATGAACTACATCACAAGAGTGGAATATCGTTATAAGGTGCATTGAATTGCATACCTTATGACTAGCCAACAATATTCTAACAAATATCTTAAGTATTAAGATTTTAAAATATTTCTTCCACTATGTGGCATCCTAATGGAGTTTTCTCCATCTTTGAAATAATATTTGAAAATGCATTGACTAGACTCTTACAAAGAAGTAGAATTTGCTTGGGTGAATACTGCATACAGATACAAAATGTAGCATACCTCTATGTTAACCAGCTGATTTGCATACATGTATGCCAGATACAGAATTAAAATTTTATGCCTTAATCATTATCCAGGTCAGAATCTCCGTTGAACAACTCTCTGGATTATCCTCTCTGAGACTTCAGTGGTTATTACACAATCAGTTAATAATGAAAATTGCAAGGTGGTAGTTTGTGCTTCCTCCATAGCAACATCACTTGGTGTTCCAGGTGCTGCAACAATGTTACGGGTAGATTGATGCCTTTTTTCCAGAGCAGACTGAAATGTATCACAAGCACTAGGGAAGTCTTCATCCAGTGAGAATTTCTTTGCCAACTTTGTAGCTGGTCCAAGGGCCAATTGTCCATTGAATAGCACACGACTGACACGAAAAGATCTTTGATTAAGGCCCTCTTGAAGTTTAATATTCAGATCTTCTAGGGAGACATCTCCACCTTCTGTCTTTCTGATTTCCTCAATAACAATGTCATAGGCAGTGCCAAAGAGATGTTCCTCAGAGATATTTGCAGCAATTATATACTTGGCAACCTATCAAAAGGCAAATTAGCCAAGGCAATGAAACACAAATATTCAGTGATTGTTAAGTCTTCTAACTGACTCTTAAACTAAGAGGGCAGGTAAGTTTTATAGTAATGTTGTACCCCTTTTACATTTTGCTGACTACTTCAGTCATCAATTCATGACCAATGATTTTTAAGGAACAGTCACCTCCATCAAAACTCAAATAAAACCCTACAATGTGGTCCAGGTTAAATAAGATACCTGTCAGTGATCAAACTATGTGTTTTATTTGCTTTCCACAGGTACAGGTAGGTAGGTTTGATAGGTTCCTATGTGGAATACATAATTTCTATAGATCACAAGACTCATTTGACCACTTCACTTACCAGAAATTTATAAATAGATAATATTAAGCTGTTTCCCCTCTAAGACTAATACTTACAACAAATGCAAAGTCACATGTCAAACTAGTCAATGAGAATTATATACTAGTCACCTTATTCAATGGTTAACATACACTGTTTAATAAATGTGGACATTTTGCAAGTTGCATCGACTCACTATTATCTTTCCAAGCCCCAAAGGGGCAAGGAAATAAAAGATTTATTCTTCCACTATTATTTCACTTCTTGGTACTTTGATTTAGTTTGCAAAACACATCCAATGACCTATTTGTGCATCATATTGATCGCATAAGGAAGACATAAAAGACCAACTTAACAAAAACAAAACCATTCACTAAGTTTCACTTGTGACCAACAAAAAAAATCTGCTGTGCTTAATAGTTGTTTCTTTCATAAGCAAGCCTAAAAAAGGGAAAAAAATAATCAAAATTTGGAGTGCTCATAGTGGCAATTTTGTGCTCCCTATTTTTGGCTTGTTCTACAGTGTAATATCATAGCACATTTTGCAGGTTCTCATGACCTTAATTGGTAAAATGACTATCATCATAATTATAGTGAAATAATAAATTAATGAAGTTATCAACAAGCAATTACGTTTTTAAAAGAAAACCCTCCAGTCGGGATTTTATTGAAGTCAATGAACAGATTTCAGTTGACTTGTGCATCAAATGACAAAACATCAAGTCATGCAAGCAATTTACTTGAAGTTCATTTGGCAAGACTTATCAGTTGAAGTGCATTTTCTTAGGATAGTTGCTGTACACTTTCCTTTCAGGCAAACTTTCCCTTGAAATTTTGGAATTTATTAACTTCCACAGAAAATCAGATTTTATAAGTTCCAGTGGCTAAAAACAAGAGTTTGAAAATTCCTGAAAAGTCGTTCCTTGAAATTTTTTCAGCAATTTGATTGCAAAATAATCTTAAAAAAAAAAACCCAAAAGGAAAGAAATTCCTATAAGTTTACTTGCTTCACTAACATTGTATGCACAATACTGTATCTCTCTGATCTTGGGAGTGTAAGGGTAAAGAGCCTTTAAGTTCTTACCTCAGAAATAAATTTGACATCGGGTATCTGGAAAAATTTACCACCTGTCTTTAGGGAAATTCCTGTGAAAAAGTCGGTCACTAAGTCATGTGCTGGGTCTGGAATGTATGCTGGCTCTGGCTGGGAGATCACAATAGTATGAAGAGTGACATAATTCTTTGTAAGCTGATGACAGAGCTTCATTACATCATGGCCATGTTCACACTGAAAATTTTCAAGAGTTTTTCTTTGATCCAATATGGCTGCAATAAAATAGATGAAGCCAAAATGCTATTAATCATGATTCATGAATCTTATAAAATTGCAATAATAATCTAGATATTTCTATGTGAAGGCATAAATGAAAGCAGTATCTTCTCATTCATAGCTTTACCACAATCTCAAGGAAGTAATACCCTGAACTTTGCAGCCACAGAGGTTATTAATATATTTATATTAATATATGTAGCAGGTAATTTAGTGTTAACAACGGAGTTGCAAATGTAAATTGGCCAAGGCAAAGTTCTACAACTGTAAGCATTATCTGAGGCAGTGAGTTCCCATAGCTTTTCTTGTAATTCTTTACAAATGACTTTATTTATACTCACGCAGTAATATGCAGACTTTGATGGCATTTTTGCGACACTTTAAGTTGTTACTATCGCCGCCAACTTCACTGAGTTGGACTGCTAGTGCCAGTCCATCTGCCAGCCCTCTTGTTCCACCTGGCCTCCCAAGGCGACGCAGGCTTTCTATGGTTTCTTTCATAGTATCCTTTCTGTCTGTAAATTTCTGTATGAGTGCTGTGTTATTGATTCCAGGATCACCAGATCGCATTCCAGGGCGTGGATGCCTTTGATGGTTTTGGTAACTGATGAGTGCCAGTCTGAGATGGAAATTGTCAAAAATATCATTGATCAGGTGCCTCAGTTGAGTCTTCAGACGTCCTAACAGCACTGGATTTGATAAAGCACAGTCAACAACTAGAATCAGGTCCAGGTTGTTGTCATTGTGATTGCAATCTGCATGTGTAGCAAAGAAAACAGAAAAAAATTGAAACACATTCACAAAACAGAACAGCATATCAAAATGCATAGAACATTCTTTCCAATTTTGTTCACAAGTCTGTATATCAGCTGTAAATAGGAAGAGATGGCAAAGAAAGGAAACATCAAGGAAAAAGTTACTGGTAGATTTTTTCTAGTTATTTCCTTCTGATTTCTCTTCATAATTTCATTAAATTGTCAAGGTGAGAGGTGATGAGGAAAAACTCATTAAAGCAACAACTAGGCACCTTGACCTGACACCAAATTCTTGGGACTAGAACAAGAACAACTGTAAGAACTGTGTGATTGACTAAGCAATTGATAATAGGATCTTGAAAGTGAAATGGGTTAATATCAAAACGACAAATCTAAATGACTATTATACTTGGGCTACAAAAATGTCACCCTATTCAAAAACACATTTTAATCTTGACTGAAATTTTTTTAATCCTCAAAAGGATTCAAACACCACAGCCTGTTCCAATTTTGCAGTTAGATGCTTGAAGTCAAAGCCCAACACTTTGCCTTGATTTATGAACATGAGCATCTATGGTACTTTTCTCTATCATCATTACTTCCTCATATCCAAAGTTTATCATCTTTTACTTTCAATTGACATATTAAGTAACTAATTATGATGACTATTTTGTGGGTTGGTTCCACTTTGTCATTTTTATAAGTTAACATCCACACTGTTACAAGCACTCACCTGGAGTGATTAAAGAGAGTGAGCGTGTAATTGGCTGCAATAGAATTTGAGATTCATTGCCAATTCTCACTGCTTTGACCCCGCAATGGTTAAGCCAAGGGAGTTTGTGAATGGCAGCCCATCGAAGGCTGTCTACCATTTCCTTCCTATTGGTGATTTTAAAATTTAAATTCCACCAATTGACTCCCACTTGCTCACTTCCTTCCAGGTGTATTTCTGAGGGATCAAAACCCAGAAATGCATTCATGCTGTGCACAAGGTTTTGTTGCACATTGACATCTGCTTGCATACCAAAAGAGAAGCAGACCAGCTCCACAGCTGCAGAAGTAACAAATAAAATTTATCTTTGGTAGAATGGACTTTTTGTTAGTGCATCAACAACAAATGACTCCTGTCAACCCTCTCTTACCCTCTCCTACTTGCACCTTGAACTGACTAGATCTAATTCAATCATGTTACCCTCAATCTAATATAATTGTCATGCATTTCCTGCACTTAGCACACCCTCAGTACCTTGAATCCTTCAAAACTTTTTTTCATTTATTTAAAATATAACAGCGCTAGCTGTCCCCCAAAACAATGGGGTCATGTTTCCAGGGGCTGGGATACATTGAACTACAGTTCACTGATTATCTTCATAGAGTTTAGCTGTTTAACACCTTTTTCTCCAGATTGTTCCACTTTGACTGAGCTTCTCAACATCACAATAAACTTTGATTTAAATGTGCATGGCGTGATCAGAAATACTGGTCGATTAGTGTTAACAACCATAAATAAATTTACACTATTTCAAACCTAATGCACAGGTCAACAAAAACCAGCCACTTCATTCCACAGATGGGTATTCAATATCCCTGGGCTCTGAGCTCAGAATTAACTAAACCATTGAAGAGCAAGTAACTATCATTACATTAAATTTTAACCAGAGAATTCCCTCTTTTCAGCTTTACGAACTGTTCTGCTTTATTCAGTGATGGACTAAGTTTGCGCTGTTCATAGTTAACCATAGCTATGATGACGTACGTATGGCAAAATTTCTGGCAATGGCTTTTGAAATTTTATAACTCCACAGTTTTCTTATTCTTGCCACCATTTGCTACCCCCCTATTCAAGGTCAGAGCAGTTGGAGGAGTCATTTGAGGTGGACCTAATCTTGCTAGTTTGGGTAACACTCACATGTTGCTGAATGGAAAATTTCCCAAAGGAACATGTCTGGATCACAACAGAAGCTCTCAGTCCTCTGGTAGTTGTTTTCTAGCCCTTATAAAGAGGTTTCTGTTCTGCCAGTGGTGCAGTATTCACCGTAAAGAGTTGATCAATTCGAGCTTCAACATCCTCCTCCACAAGCATCAGGTAATTTGACTGTCATCCTTGCCCTGGGGTGAGGAATTTTAATCTTGTCTGGATGGGATGGGAAGTGTCAAGTCTTCTCCGCGGAATAAACACGTTCACCATCAAATCTGGCATTTGGGTAGGGCATTTGAACACAATTTTGGCCCCAGTTTGGGGACGGGAATTTGAACAAACCAATCTGCAAAATTTCAAATGCCCAAGAGGGGGAGGGCACGTTGACGCTTCGAATTGATCGACGTATAACACTGGTTTTATCTTGGGGCACTTATATGAATGAATTGAGTCCTTGATCTTATGATATTAAAAAATCAACCATTTGTATATCGGCATTATTCTAATTACAAAGAAAAATGAAGAAAATCCAATGCTGTCACATTACCTGGTGATTCACTCTGTCTATAAGCTCTTACACGTTTCACAAGATCGAGCCTTTTAACGTCCGTTAAAAGTTTCTCAAGGTTGTCTAAGTTGTCCTCTCCCAAGATACCCTGTTGTAACATTTTTGAAAACAAATCTCTTGGTTTGCTACACTCCTCCAGATGTCCTGACGGGATGGATCCCTGCAGTATAAATTTAAAGCCTTGTAACTGGTCTTCCTCGATTTCTTGAGACAGTCGCTCCAAGAATCTTCGAAACTTGTTCAGTATGATTCCTCCGCTCACAACAACCCGAGAATCGCCATGAGCCATGAGTGCGAGCCATCAACCAAGTAAAGCCGTCTGAATGTTGCCTTCATCTAGTTTTCAGGCTCATGTCATGCTGCAAATTCACGAATCAACAAAACTTCCATCGCCTTTCGCGGAAGGAGTTGTGACCTATTTTGCATGACAACGCTAAAAGAGCTCATTTACAAGTCGATAACATTTCATGAGTCATATTCCGAACCTCGTACCCAGGGTCTTTATTCAAAGGTCGCCCCGTCCTAAGGGACCGACAACAGATGCATGCCCATCGATGTCCACCGCCCTTTAGCCTTCACATCCACTTCCTTCATGACTTGTTTGAGGAGTAACTCTTCCTCTCCAGCAAAAAAACATTCGAATCAGGCCTAGAAAGTCTTGTGAGCTTAGAGAAGCAAGGAAAACAAATAGAAAAGGTTTTTGGAATTGCCCTTTTTGGGGCTATAGAATACACATTCATACATGCCCACAGGTGGCCTGCAACTTCAGACATGCTTTTTTATACTCGTACCACAACATTTTTACGCATGAAGAATAAGTGTAAGAAAAAGAGACAAAGAAAAAAAATCTGGGATTGTATCCAATTTTCTGGTTGTGTGGGGGAGCATGCATGAGTCTAGAAACTTAAGTGGCCCTAGACCACTCCACAAACATGCACCCCCGGTAATAGTTTTTTTCATCCCCCCCCCTCGAGTGTAAAATAGTCTTCACTGACTTGGTTTATATTTAACATCTCGGAAAATTTTTCCCTTGCCTAACTTGGATGTAAAAGCTACCTTTAAGAAAGATACAGATAGAGCAGGGTAACATAACCTGTTGCTTGTTGGAGTCAGGTGAGCTGGTGCAGTAGTCATTGGGTTGATTGGCACTTCAATCACAAAAAATAATTTGAAAATGACTAAATTGTCCATGTAAATACTTGGGAAGTGTGTTCAAATGGGTGTTCTTGCTACTTGAGGGTTTTTTTCCATGCACATCCTACAGCAAAGTGGAGCATCCACACTCATAAGCTTTTGTGTAGGTATCTTTTCCAGTCATTTAACTAAAGCTGAGTCCCAGCATACTACACCACTCCTTCAGTAAGGGGTAAATCAAATGCAACATGATATCATCAGTGGCCACCCATTGTATTAGAAATCAAACAGAAAATGTTCTCAAACCCAAAAAGACAAAAGAAACTGAACAACCTCTATCTTAACTTGCTTTTAATTAGGAATAATAACTCTGAAATAAGAATAAAACTTGCTGAGCAGGTTCACTCTTAAATGTACACAAGTTAAGCTGCCCTTTTTTCTTTCATCCTGAGTGTTGTAATAACATACTTCTTGCTGAACTGGGGTTAACCAATACTATCCATTTTGTGACGTCCTCTTCTGTCAACTGCTATATTAATCAATGATTAAACAAATATGACAAAATTTCATTTCTATTTACATAGTAATGGCAACCATAGTGGCCCTTACAGCAAGCATTACAATAAGAGCGATGACAGTAACAATACAAAAAGATGGAAAGGGGGTTGGAGAGAATTTGTGTATAAAGCAGGTAGCCCTTGACAACACATCCCACAATTTTGTTAATGAATGGAGGATTATGATTGGCGCAGTATGGCTACATCAGAAAATGTTCTTGGCAAGGGTAAGTTTCATACACTACTCAATAATTTCTTTGTTGTGGCCACAAAGACACTGACTGACATTTCTGAGTATTCATTTAACTCTTTCACTCTCAATATCTTGATAAAAATTCACCTTACTGTCTGCTGCAGGCAATATGTTTTGTATTAAGTTTCTTTTAAGAATTTGGTGTCGGAGCAAATGATAATCCACCAGTTACTATTTTTTGCAATTCTCATTACTTGTTTGCTTGAATTGCATTCATGCTGTAAGGAGAAATTATGTCTTAGTCACTGCTGAGAGTGAAAGGGTCAAAGAAAGATACAATCACCAGTGCCATTATTCTGCTTGCAAGTAAAATTACTGTAATTTTCTCAACAATCAGTAGTCCTTATGAAATCATATCAGCTAATGAAGCTATACTAGTAATTAACATTTAATTTATAATTTTGGTTATAATAATATTACAATCATCATTGGTCTTGTGATTATAAGATCCTATGGCACGCACCATTAGTGTTTAAAAATAAATCATTAAAAGTATGGGGTATGCCAGCAGGTACTTTCTTAACTGTCTCTCAAACCTTAAAGCAATGTAAATTACAAAATATTTCACATTCACAAAGTGAAATTTGTTGCAAAGGCTAAACAGCAATATCATTTTATTGTCTGAGACCTTCCTCATTGATGATTGACTACTGTTTACGATATAGCAGGTAAAAGCCAAGAGCACAGATACAGCTGAAGACAAAGTAAACCTGAACATCGTGCTTCTTTCTCAAAGCCTTGAAGTAATCAACCACAGATTCCTGCAAAAAGGAAAGAGCTTTTTGATAAGAGCACAAAAGATACAGTACTTGAAACAGGTGTGGAGAAAAAAAGGAGCTTTACATTAGTTTTGAGTGGGAGAACTAACATTTCACAAATGAAAGTTATGCAAGATTTATAAAGATTTAACCCTTTTAACTCCCCAGATTTGATTGCTAATCCTCCCCTCTAACTGCTACACATTTCCTTGTAAATTAGTTATGAAAATTTCATGTTAGATCAAGATAACTTCTTCCTGATAAGTTTGAGTATTCTCATTACTGGTTTGCTGGACAATGTACAGATATTGAGAAGACATAACATGTTAATCACTTCTGGGAGTCAGCAGGGTTTATGTATTGTTTTGCCATTTTGGAACAGCATTTTCTGCCATACTGCTATTTTCAAATAGTTTCAATTCCAAGACATCAGTAACAACAGCTGGGTACATGGCAATTCTATAAGCAATATTCTCTGACATGACAATGTGCACAAGATGCCTGTAGAGTTTTTTTTTTTAATAAACTCTACAAACATTAGATGATGGCTGTGTATTAAATTAAAGAATAAATGCCTCACTGGATTACAAACTTTCCTTGCTTGTTGATAATCTCACAAAACTGGTAAATGCTGAGTGAAAACCATATAAACATTTTTCATATAGTAGACATTCATATTGGATTAAAAAAACCAAAAACAAAACAAGACTCACCCATCCTCCTTGTTCAAAAATCCACTTGGCCAAGCGGTCCTTGATAAATTCACACACCCACCCAATAATCATTTTGATGAGTGGTATTTGGTTGATGACTTGTAATGCTAGCTTGTAGCCAAAGTAGAAAAGAGTCACTATTCGTCCCCAATTTACTTTACCATCATTAAATATCTGAGCCCCAACTTGAAGAAATGTATCAAAAGCAGTGTCTTTGGAGACAACTACTTGTGATATCAAATTGTTCAAAGTGGTATCATTCGCTAAACGATCTCCAATGTCACGAATGACATGAGCCACTTCCTTATTGACTCTTTTTTGATTTTCACTCAGTTCTTGTGGAACGGGGAGGCCATCTGCACGAAAACACTCGCCTAAAAAGGTGGTGACAATGGCTGGTGTTTGCCCTGATACTTCGTCTACACTATTGGCTCTTTGATAAGATGGCCTTTGCTCACCATTACCATCCTGTTCATCATCTGATTGTCTTCTGGAGCCCCCACCAGGAGCCATGATCCTCCAATCTAAAAAAAGAGAGTGACTTAACATTACATTCTACAAGTTATTATGGACAAGATTCAGCAAGTTATAACACACCCCTACAGTCTCCAAAAATGAAAAAAAAATGCCTTTTCCAGCTAGCAAGAAGAGAGAAAATTTTAAAAATAAATTATGTACAAGTAGTCATTATGAAATGTGCTCAATAGCAAAAAAAAAAATAATTTTATTTTATTACTGACTCAGAGTTAATTTATATCTATGTCAAGCATCTAGAATTCTGCAAGAACACAAACCATTCAGAAGAAGGCAAAACAATTTTATGTAGTCAGTTTCCCAAGGCAACCACAGTATCTGATATCTAAGTCAATATTTACAGAAGGTATTCTTTGTGACATTTTTTTAAAAGTATTATTATTCTCATAGTACAGGAAAGTATTGGACTTCAAAAGCTGTTGCTTAAAGAAAATCTAAACAAAATTTGTTACCTAAACTCAAATATGCACCAGAATCAAGCAATCACCATGTGATTGTCACTCGTCACACTAGCAATTTTCGTGGAAAATTTCTTCATCATTTACAACATTTATTATTTCTGTGACTGAATCTACACTACCAAATGAAAGCACTTAAAAATCACTGCTTCTTAAAAAATATTCACATTTGAATACTTTTAAGTATAAGAAATCAAAAGCAAAAAAACAGTCAATCTTTTACATGGCAAAAAAGAAACAATTAATTCATAGAACAAATACCTCTGTTTGAATCAAGTATTACTTTCAAGTCTATAAAAGTTTTCAGTTGTACAATGCTTGTTGGTCCGGTATCCCTATACTGTTTATTAAACTGATTAATCTGCCGTTTATTAATCCTTCAAGTCTAATATTAGATTTGACATTTCTAAAATTAGAACAAGACAATGAAAGCTTTTATTCCACACTATCAATGATACTTGCCCACAATGGATTTTTATGAGTCATATTCTATCTTTTTCAAATAATTAGCTGATCAGATGTGTTTCTTAAAATAACCCCCTCCTCCAGTAACACTTAGTCCAATGTGATACCCATAACTGCCCCACTCTACATGAATGGGAATCAACAACAACAGCGATGCCAGTCAACGAATTCAGACTTCCTGGGACAATCTGTTTTGTTTTAGTTTTGAAAGACTATCACATGGAAAACAGCCAAGTTTTAATTCGCATCTTTAACCTTTCAATTGATAAACAAATAAATAGATTATTTTTAATTTTCATAGTCGAAAATTAAGTGGGCACGGTTCGTATAGTATTGTCGACACAACTTAAGCGTCTCGATGAAAAACATAACTTCTGTTTTGAATTTTTTGGCCCAACCGATACTAAAAATTGATATGTACTTCACTACAAGAAAATATACCAACAGTTTGAGCACCAACACAAGTTATTTGCGAATAAAATGTATGTGAAATGAAACAGACATCAAACCCAGCTAAACTTGGGCTTATTTCTTACTACAACGAGAGAAAGCATGTTCGATGCTCAAATCTTTCTTACGCAACTTCGACTTGAATTTATCACTATTCGTTAGTATCTTGACACGGTTTGTACCTCAGACAACTTGATTTTTTTTTACTTCCACAGGAGTAAGAGACCAAAAAGAGTTTAACCCACTAGACTAAGTCCCTTTCAAACATTCCAGCAAATTTCACTAAGGGAGTCGCGTGCCGTTTACAGCCGCAGAAAAATACAAATTCATCTCGGGTTACAGCGTTGTAAAAACATAAAAGAACAACTGTTGGAAAGATTCCTGTCGAAACCTTGACAGAGGGCTATTCTCAAAAAATTTCCAATCAATTCTTCAACGATCAAAATATCTTGTCACGTTTGGACATAGCGATCAATAAAATAAGAAAACCTTTCGGGAAGAAAAAGACTTTCCGATAAATTTTATGCGTTCGATCTACTCACCAGTTTAAGGGAGTGGAATTTAAGACTTGGCTCTTAAAAATGTTCCTCAGCTATAAGAGATAATATTTTTCACGTCTTCGTACCCGCGAGTCTTAACCCTGCATATTTAAACCGATGTCATGGCGGAAAGTACCTGGCTGATCAAGCGTTCGACGTTGATTGGGCACAATATAAAACGGCTTCCATGATTCGTGGATTTTTCTCAATTTCAGTGATGTCATCGAATGACGCGCGCCAACTTCAAAGTTTTCCCGCAACTTTTCTAGCTCGTAAAAAATCGCTAAAGTCGTCCCATGCTTATTTTGAACGCGTTTTAGGCAGAGAAATCATATTTTCTCATTGCATTGGACTAGAAAGACGAGGAAACAAAATTTTGCTTATTCAGCATTATAAAAACGGGAATTAACCAAAATAACAGAAACAAAAAAGCCATCTGCTGGTGTTTTTGAAATACGTGCCCAGACAGGTTACAAAGCACACAAAGCAATTAAATATTTCAAGCCATTTATTTTGTCATAATGATTATACGTGTTTTTCACCGTTTGTTCTCTATTTTAAGACATGACTCATGAAAGATATGTTACTAGTATTCGCCCATCACATGCCATGGGTAAAAAAAATTGAACCACTTCCACTTTACTCAGCAGAAAAGAAAGTAGTTGTTTTCCTTTGGAACGGAAATGGAACGGAAGATAAATCGAGCATGTAGTGCACGTGCTCTATTGTAAGGCGCTAGATCGGCAGCAGAAGGGTATTTCCCATTTTAATTATTTATAAACTAAGCGGCTCGGTCGGTTAGATCTTCGCAAAAGTACAAAAAGATATAATTGTTTGTTCATCTACCGACAAAAACGAAACACAAAAGTTATGATATTGATGAACAGAAACCCTGTGATACAACTTTGTAAGGGCTTACTCGGGTTAAGTGCAGAAGAGCATCCCAATTCTAACTAAATGATAAAACTACAAGTTTTTATACCTGTCTACTCAGAAACTATGAACTTATCATAATCTACAAACGCACCTTTTGATGGCTATGGTAAATGACAGCTAAAATTTAACTCTGCGCGGTCAAACAAAGCAAATCACGAAAAAAAAAAACCCACGCTTAACACTCTCCAAAATAGTCGATATGATCTCACAGTTCTAACTGAAAAGATATGAGACCCGTACTATCTGTAACTCCTTTTTCGTGGAAATTTTACTTTGCGGAAGTTTGATGCGTGGGTGATCAAAATGCACACAAGTATATTAATCTCAAAGTAAAAGTATTTCCATCTCGTTCTACAGAGTCAGGTCCTTTTTCAAGGCAAGTTGACAATGAACTATTGCTTTGATAGAGTTAAAAAGAATGGAGAGAAAATCTATCAAATTTAAGTATTGGGCTCTGAGTCTTGAGACTATACATAAACTTTTGTGAATGCCTTTTTACTGGTGTCATTAATTCGTTGATTAGCAGACCGCAGAACCTCCGGAACCCATATTTTTTGTAAAGAAAAGTAATGAAACGAAATAAATAACCAAAAAGGCCCTAACACTGTTTGAAAGTTCGTTTCGGATATACAGAGGATTACACTTAAAGACAATTATGTTTTAATCGTCCTTGACATCCAACTAGAAATAGCTGACTTTAATTACGGCGAAATTTACTGTAAAAGGTATGCAATTTTATAAAGAGCTATTAAATGGTTTAGTTTTGATCTATTTTTTTTTTCCATTTCTTTATTCTATAAAGAAAAGTACAGGTTCCGCAGTCAAGTAACTCCGCTTTTTTATGCCATTTTAAACGTCACGGAAGTGATTTTCCCACCAAAGAAACATTTCTCTCGAAGGCCTTGGGAGCATTACAAGTGACAGTGGAAAACACAAGAATAAGATAACATAAGATATTTAGTGTTTTGCATTCATTTGCATCCAAAAGCATACTTTTAAAGGGGAATACGTGATGTTTTCATAACCGACTGAAATGTAAATAGTGGTTCGAGGAGAATGATTTTTCTTGTTCCCTCCCCTCCCTTCCCCTCTCCCATCCTTGACCTTGAACTATTAAGAGTGTATATACAAATATTATGATTGTGATGATTTCAATCAATGGTAATCTGAACTTGTCACTTTTATATCGTTGTCAAGGTCAGTCCTAGTAGATAGTTTCCGCTCTACTGGACGATCTAATTTTATTACGAATTCGAAACTGGTGGCAAACAAAAAGGAAACAATAAACAAAACTTACAAAACAGACTTAACTGAGGATCTAAAAGGGCTGATGTTTACAGCTGACAGTTAAAATGTGGCCAAATTATGGCTAACGGTTGATATCTTTTCATTGCGGTCACCAGAAAAAGTTTTTACGATTAATTTTTTTTCGACTAACGATTGAAATACGTCAATTTTTACGCCTAAAAGCTTAATCTTTTGGCTGTTTTACGACGAACAGTTAGCCCCATTAAGACCTTGTTAACAAGAGGAATCGGGAGGAGGGAAGAGGAAGGCTCTTTGTATGATACCAAGAGATCTTTAACATCATGATAATATCTTGGGTACTAGTATTGCTCAATTTTTGCTCAAATTATTCTCAATATTATATACATTATGTTCGCTTTTGATATTAAAATTATGCTATTTTCTCTCTAAGTACGATTTCCAGAAGAAAAAAAAACAAAAAAGTTCAAATTATACATTTATTTGCAATAAAGCATGGTGTCTCCTTTAAATAAGTTTAATATTTGCTCTATGAAAACATTATTAACTACTGGACTTACTCCAAGATCAAAAGCGGTGACTTAATGTGTCATAATGTACGATATTAGCATCACGTTTCCCTTCCATGTCTATTTGTCGCCTGTGAACCGACGCAGTCTTTACTTCCGGTGTGCCCAGTCCCTTAGACGACGAACTACACAGAAATACGGTAATCCACTTCACCTTAGACATTGAAAATTTGAAAATAGACTGAAACATGGACCGAACTTGAAAATAATCAATTTTAGAGACCAAAGAAGTCATGACTCTAGTGATGTTTCTCTCAAAAAAAAATTTTAAAATATGCTGATCATGCTTGAAGTGCAACTTTTATAAAAAGGGAACAGATTATGCTCGTTTTTTCAAATTATGCCTAAAACTATGCTAACACAATCTCTAAGGGCTCATTCTGATAAGTAGTGATATAAAAATGGGAAGTATCACATTAAAAATGTGTTACCGCTGCGATTACGAAAACTCACATTTCCTAAATGTGACGAAGATGGGGTCTATAACTGGCCACAGAATAGACCATAATGGAATAGGGATTCTGTAGGACCAGGAGCGACAATCGACCCAAGTATTCCCGTACCCTTCCCCCCTTCCTGAGGCTTACCCACCCTGAGTTTTAAAATATGTTACAGAAAGGCAGCAGCCTTTCATTGAAACAGTGCTACCTATTTGTACCAGTCCCCTCGAAGACCTCTCACGGGCTTCGTAAGATCGCAGGCTCATTTGTTCATGCTAACTTACTTGTTTCTCAAGTACAATGTGTCCGTCCATCAAGGAAATAAGTAACCAAATGATTGAATGCAGAAGAACAGACTTGATCTGATAAAATACCTAATCTAGTCAGCATAGTTTAAAGTTTACAAGCACCAGATCGAGAGGGGTACCAGGATCTTCTTTGCAGATAATGTGACACTTCACCATTTACTTCATGAAGTAGAACCTAATTGCTCGGTGTTCTATGCAAACAGAGCACGAGATATAGTCACGACAGTGAGAGATGAAGTTTGTTCACTTGATGATCAGCTCTTCTCCATAGCAATATGTGGGAAACTATCAAAGGTTTCCTTCGACGGCACAGAAGGAAATTTTTCATCACAGGAGCAGTTGTCGGTGGAGTTTACCTGCTTAGTCGCTACGCAAGATGGCGTTTTGCAGAGTGGCAGCGACAGCAAGAAATGGAATACGTCGAACAGGCAAGGAAACAACACCATTTTGAGAGCAATCAGAGAACTTGTACCATTACGTTATTTTCCTTGGTGCCAAATTTACGCGATGCGTTGATGGAGAAACTCAACTGCGAAGCAATAACTGGAAAACTTCGTGAACGGCCTTCTAACAAGTTAGAGCTTTGGGAGCAACTGAAAGTTCTCAGTTTTACCCGTACTATAGCGTCAGTGTACTCATCATGCATGCTGTTTGTGTTCCTAAGAGTGCAGCTGAACATTATTGGGGGTTACTTGTATCTAGATAGCTTGACGATGACGGGAGAAGCCTCGAATGGAAAAAATGGAAAGAAGGTACACATTGCTGAGGGACTACAGAAGAGGTACCTTGCCGTGGTTAGATACCTGATGGGTGATGGACTGGATTTTTTGATAGAAGAGATCAGGAGAACTGTAGAAGGTAAAACTAATGGTTGATGGACTTCCTTTCTTTGAGCTATTTCCAAGCTGCCAAAGAAGATAGCTCAGAGAAATGGTTGTTTAACACTTACTAATTTGAATAGGGCACCGAAAATATATTTCATTCGACCTAACTCTTTCCCGAGAAAGTTTACATTTACAGAGTCACACAGAAGAACTAATCTGTTGCAACCCATTTCTTCAATAGCCAGATTAACAAAAAAAAAATACACTTAATCCTTTCATCTCAACATTATATTTTTACCCCTAAGTACACAATATTAATACATACATTTTCCTTGATTTGCTGATTACCACGAAGCTGTGAATCTAAGTATTAGCAAGCTACTTGTAGAAAATGTTGAAACAATTTAGAAATTTGACTCCAATTCTTTCACCCATAGGTGAATTTGTAAACAAAACATGATGTGAGTATGAGAGCGATCTTTGCAGCAATGAACACTACTTAAATAAGTATCAGTGAAAATAAGGCCTGAAAAAAATTTCAGCCTGTATGGGATTTGAATCCAAGACCTCTGCAATACCATTGCAGTGCTCTACCAACTGAGCTAAAAAGCCAATTGGGAGCTGGGCATTATGTTGTTTCCAAATAAACCCTTAAAGTGATGCATGAAACCTGATGTGTCTGTGAAATGCAGAAGAACTAAGCTATTTGAATTGCAATAACAGATGAAGAATTAATACAACTTTTTCAGAAATGTTGGTATAAAACAAATCTTTGTGATAATTTGCAGCAGTTTAAAGGGGGATCTGAAGCCTCAAATTGAACCATTTTAAATTATAAATCAAACACTTTTTTCAGTCTTTGGGCTCAACTTAGTGTTGATATATTAAATAGTTTTATATCGTATCTTAACCCAGTAGCATTGCAGCTTAGGAAATTGATATCAGCAGTCGATATTATGTCACTGTTGGAGACACTCTTTGCTTCAAACCTTGCTTTTGGCAGGCTTATGAATTTTTGTGGCTCTTTATGGGGATTGAATTTGAAAATGGAATAATAATGCACAGTTCTTACAGAAAATTTTAGGCTTCAGGCTGGGCTAGGATGGGCTGGGGATGTCATAAATGGATCAGTAAATATGTTTGTGTTGTTTATCTAGTCATTCTTTTAACTTCGCATCAACTATTTTATATGGTTGTCCATGTTCTATTTCTTTTCCCCAGTAATCACATTTGAAATATTCAATACTTTCATATACTGAATATATTTGAAAACCTTATCAGCTCAGTAGTCTGCAGGATAGAGATCTATGGCAAAACTTGACGCATTTGTATACAATCCTGAGCCCAGTTTAGTGAGTCACAATGAGTTGTTACATTAGGTAATCTAGAGAGATGTGTTTGTGCATATGGTATGCTTAGTAAAAACTTTTTTGCAAACATGGTGTGAACTTCTTCAAGGTTAGTATTAATTTTATTTTGGGAAAGAATTAGTTTTGTTAGGCTTTCTTTAACTTCACTTGTGTAAACATTCACATTGCTTCCCACAAAAGGGGTAAAGTGATACAGTATTTACTATTTGTCTAATTCAGTGTATAACCATCAGTAATTTATTCACAGTGTATTGCACAGCATTTGCATGTACCATTGATTAGAGTAAAAGTAAAGTCATTGCAAAACATGGAGTAAGCTACCAAACACCAAACTCTTAAAAGAAATTGGCTGGCAAAAAAAGGAAAAAGGGAACTTCAAATTGAATTTTCTGGTAAATAACAAGAAGTGAGTGAAATAAATACTGATTCATTATCGTGTTCCTCCAAAGCCAACCAGAAATGAATGCCAAAAAAATTACAATTTTAGGCTTCAGTTTTCCTGATATTGACATGTCCATTGACTCAGCTGTAGAGGAGAACTTTTTTAAGTCAAACTGGACCATTATTACAACTCTATTGCATCAGTGCTACAGTTTTATTTGGTGGTTTTAAGTTTAAGAAAGCAGTATTATCAGCCAAAAAGAGTTTAAGAAAAAAATTTCATTAAACTTGGTTCATGTTATGGTATGCGATAACAATATCATAAACTTAAGGTATTTGAGAAGTTGTGTATTACATTTGATAGCTACAATACAAAAAGACTGGTTTGACAGGTTCCTGGTAATCATATGTTGGGGTGATCTCAAATGGTTTAAAACTGTATGGCAATAATTTCATTCAATTTGTTCATGTTGATATTGTTGTCTAGGTCACTCCTTGTTCAATGTCTTCTTTCTCAGGTTCCTTTTGCAATTTGTCAAAAAATACTTTTCAATGGTTGCTGAAGTTTCCTAGTTGACTAAGGAAAATACCAATGTGAAGCCAATACATGAAAAAATGACCATCATGTTGAGAATGTTTTAAAGCTTAATTTTTTATTTTTCATGATTTCATTTTCACCTTGCCTTTCAGACATTTTAGGTGAGATATCCTTGAAAGAAAAGTTCAGCCTTGAGGAACTGACCCGACTCATCAAACACATACGACAGTCAATGGAATTTCCAAACCACAGTGTACCTATCAATGGCAAATTAAAAGATGCTTCAAACCAGCCAACTAAGAATGGTCATCACATGAGACCACTTACAAAATTCATGCTGCCCACAGATGTTGAAAGTTTGTGTGACACAGTTGGTAAAGAAGGAGATGATAACTTCAAGAATTTAATAGGGGAAACTCTTGATATTCTGGAAAGTGAGGACTGTCTGTATGTGTTAAAGATGTGTTTAGATGCTGGATTTGCTCATGTCATGCACAATATGATTCCCTTCTTTCAAGCTGAGGAACTAGGTGAGTTCATAAGCCTCTACTTTTAAATTTTACACATGTGTACATGCTACTAATACAAAGAAATACCTATTGCATGTACAGGGATGTAGATAAGAGCTGGCAGCTGGAAAAAATTATCAGCTTTTCCTGAAAAAATTTCCAGCTGATGAATTTTGAAGGATGATATACAACTGCCAAAATAGATAATACATTAAAATATTGTGATGAACAAAATACACAATTGAACACATTATGAAATTAAAATATTTGGTTTGTTTTTCTTTGTAATACGCTTTGTGTAAATACATGCACAATTACATGTATTTGTGTTATTTTAGTCATTGCATGTGACAGCACAGTTTGACAGTTTGTCTGAGATGTGAATTTATCCTACATTTCTGATAATCACCCTGTTATTTTATGTGTAGTCCAATCAAGAATTGATTGCTATTGGTCTTAAACTCAGAAATCAATTGAGTCATATTCAAAAATGCTTTAAAGATCCTTTCCTTTCTGTTTCATATTTGTAACATTTGAAATCAATTTTCATTTGACCAATCTCCGACAGAGAAGTAAGATTGCATTTTTGTAAGAGAAATAATTATTATGGAAGAGTTACATATATTCCTGTATTACTCTTACATGTGATTAGCTCTGTGAGCAAATAGGTCATGGTCCTTTCTGATTATTTTAGATTGAATTCTAGTTAATGGTTAAAATTTTTCAAACTTGTACAACTTATACCTGACATTTTCAACAGAACTTGGTGCTGTTGGAGGCATTGAGCTTGAATCAACCCTTGATCTCCCACTGGCCAAAATCATTCCTATTATTAATGGACAGATTAACCATGTCTTGTGTGACTCAGATAACAACTACTTCCAAGACTTGTTCAAGGTTGGATCTGCAAGAGACTTTGCAGCAAACATTTATGAAGCATTCAGCTTTGAGTTGGATTAGATGTCTGCAAATAAGCTAACATCACAACTGACCATACAGACGTAGAACAGGCCTTGAGGGGCCTTGAGACCTCAGACTGTAGATTTCCTCATGTGCTGTAAGATTTAATGTAAGGCAGTAAAGGATAGATCATGTGAAGATGTACAGCGCATGTGTAGCCTTTTTTAACCATCTTCCAAAATGAGAGCGTAGGCTCCTAAAGGGACTGGAGATAATTGTATCAGCAAGTAATTGAGGTCTCTGTGGACTGTGCTTTATTCCTAATTCTCACTTCTGGTTTTGTAAATTTTTTAATTAACCAGAAGTTTTTGCTGTTAAATGTACTTGGTTTTTAGATACATTTTGGTTTATTAGTGGTAAACTTCTTACTTGCTTCTTAGATAATTGATCCATGCCTCCAATGTAAATACACGTATCATAACAATGATATACATGATTGTGTAACTACTGGTAATCAATTCATACAACAGAAATAGTATTGATTCAATCATAAACCAATTTTCATACCTAAATATAACAAAATGTCTTCCGTAAGACCAATGCTTCCCTGCAAGTTGCAAGTTGGTATTATGCAATGTCTGTTTTACTTAAATGTAAAATTAGACTTCATGATTCTTGTTGATGAACCTGCAAAGATTATTTAGTTATTTATAGAGATGTGTTTGGGGGGGGGGGGGGGGGGGGGGGGACTCAGAAGACTGTGATTGGTTTAGCATGTCAGAGTCAAGGTCTTCTTTATATCTGAAATTATTTCTGATAAAGAGTTTGTTTTGTAAATGTGTTATTTTGATTATGAAAACATGTAGACAGGAAATGATTTAATATATACTTTCATCATTACAATTTTTACCTTGCATTTAGTGTCAAATGTCAAAAACTGTTATCTGACTGACAAAAAACAAAATGATGTGTCAGTAGCTAGACATAAAGTGAGCCATAACATCCTAAGAATTCAATTCCATTTTTTTAGTGTTACTGTGTTACTTTTTGTGTTTAACATCAATATGGTGATCTTGAGAATTTAGCCATAGTTTTGTTTTTGATCAGAAAAATACATGTATGTATTTGCTAGTGGGTTGTTTCTCATTTCAATTTCAAACATTCAAGCACCTTGAAGGATTACCAGCCCTCCACCTCTCCCCTCTGAACACTAGTCATTTACTTTTTCTGAAACTGTTTATTTCATTATGTATAACCTAGAATTCTTTAAGAAACAAGCATAACTGCAAGTTAGCCCTTCTAGAAAAGCATAGAGAGAGGAGAATGAAAAGAGGGAAAGTGAAGATTTTTAAATATGATTACCAGTATATGTTTTTGATGTATAAGTGAAGTGTTTTACATTTCATTTGAGTTTTGTTTAAGTTTTGTTGAAGGATTCACTTTATTCACTCCGCATCTCGTTGTTGTTTTACAGCATTCCTGTGACTTCGTGTTTAATGTGCATTGTGATGACATAGAGTTTGGGGAAATAAAAACTATTGCTTACAAAATCAATCTAGATCCTGCGCTAAGAATTAATAGAGAATGATGTGTATTTTATTGTCTTGGCTTCAACACAACATGGAAATGCTTGTCACTAAAATAACACCTCAGCATAAAATGCTCGGGTGTTTTTCCTGTTTCAAAATGGGAAAGAGAGCATATCCTTGTGCACACTAGTGCCATATCAGTTTTGAAGGTCTATGGTCATTAATACACTTTGTGACTACATACCAGGCTGTGATTTCATTTTCCATTTTGTGTCAAAAGTTATTCAGAGTGGGTCGGGTTAGATATAGACTCGAAGTTATCACATGACACCAAAATCGCTCAAGCCTGGGCGCCATCCAGGTAGTTGGGCCATGCAGTAGACAGCAGATACCTCAGACCAGTAAGCCGTCAGTGACGAATTAGAGAGGTTCACGATAGTCTCTGCGTCTGACTCAGAATTTTCAAGACATCTATGTGCATTTTCAAGGTATGGAAATGTGAAATTTTCTCTGAACTGCTACGATTAGGAGATTATGCTAGTTGACTATCTTTCAGCGCATTGCGAAGAGCTTATCACACGGCGTATATTAGAACGAACAACCAGCTGTTTATGTTATTTTAAACAGTTAGATGCCCAGTTCCTATCTTCAGCTGCAGCAAAACACAGTGATATCATATGCAAATAAGTAACATCGATGGTATTTAGCTGATTAGTGATTTTCTTGGTTGTATCTTTTACATTCTTGGCTGAAGCAAATACCTGATAAAACCTAAGAAACTTGATACATTTACACCTAATGCGCTAAATTTATGATGATGATGAGGTTCTCGAGGAAAGATACTTTATAGCCTTCGTCTGACTGACTTGTTCATGGCGATAGATCGATGAGATACGAATCTTTATGGATGATATGGGAGTCGAGTGAAGCTTATTTCGAGCCACATTGAGTGCAATGGAGCAAAAAGCGCTGCACAATCATCTTTCAACCGTGCTGCCCGCGTGGGACAAACGGCACCTCACAAAAAGACTGACAACAATGACTTTCAAAGAGCGACTTGTGCTAACTAATCAGGAACTAACACTAAGGTGCGGCATCTCTCACGTATCGTCAATAAATGTGATGAATTGTTTGAAATATTCACCTTAATCTAAAAAGTAACTTTTAACAACTCATAAATAACTTCAGAGTAGAGTAAAACAGGACTGAGAAGTGTTTTATCCCTGCCACCTTATAATTCCAAAGGCTTCACAGAAGTCGCATCGATGTGAGAACTACAAAATCTCGTTTGCAAAGAAAAATCGAACTCTGTAGTTTCTTATAAAAATTAGTGCGTCGTTCCATTTTACGAATCAAAATGAAATGCTAAAAGAAAATGATCTTTGCTTCTTCAAAAATTACAACCGGCTGGCTCTTTTTTTGAGCAAATACCCGCATCTGATTGGTTGACTGCAGCTCATTTGCTGTGAAGTTGTGTCTACCTGTGTCACTGAGAGTTTCGCGCCAAAGAAGCGCGGCTGCGCCACTGTCACTAGTGCCTTTCAGCCTGCTTCACTCACCATGGCCATTTTCGTTGACTTTCCTAATAAATCGTCAATAATCAAAGTGAAATCGATGGAAGTTCATAGTGTAATCGACAAACGAAACCTGGAACGAGAAAGGAAGGTGTTCGAGGTCGATGATTTAATAGTCTTCCTATTTCTTTTTGTGGTTAAAAGCTCCCTTGTAGTTTCTCGTACATTCTGTCTAAACTAAACAAATAATTTGGGATGAATATATGAATATAAGTAGAACACAATTTTAACTACTAATTAATCTTGCGACATAATCTTGTCCCATCTGATGGTATATTGGCCGACATCTACTGCAAACAAATCAAGACATTAGCGCCTAATAAGCTTCTCATTGGCAAACATCATCTTTTATGTGCAACACGTTGTCAACGAAACAATGCGTCAAATTTTCCCAAAAACAAACAAGAGGCTTAGCGCTTTAATTACAACAAGAAACTAATCACTCAAATTTAGAAATAGTCCGTCTTCCGACAACAAAATAGTCGTCAAATGATCCCTAAAGTGCCTCAGTCAATTAGAGGAAGAATGGCGAAGTTTGTTCGAACAGACGGTTCTTTTGTTAGCGACTAGCGTGGAGATGAGTTAGTGAATCGGAATAAGTGGTGACCCACGCGTCTCTGCAGACACAAGTTTGATGAGTTTCTTTGAAAAATGCTTCGTTATGGTGAAAAGGCACTTAAGGCTTTCCAAACCGTGACGATATTACAATCGGCTGTTCACAGGATATTGTGTCAAATAAGTGGCACAAATATAAGGTAAGAAAGTAAACAAAACCATTTCTCCTTTTGAACAAGTCTTTCTGCGAGAGGCAACCTGTTATATGCTGTTAAATGCAAACTGAAACTTAATGCATTGGGAATGCAAAAGTTCAAGTTCAAGTTTGGAGCATTCAACTCCCAAGCTACAAAACTTATAAACTTTGCACTGTTCGAGCATACTATGAATTTCTGTCTTTGCTGGATAAACAAATTGCAATGATAATTTGGTTTCGTTAGGATTTGAACTGAATATTAAATTTCGTGTTAAGTCTCATAACAACCGTTGGGATATGGAAAACTACTCAATAAGGTGGTATGCGTAGTGAAAGTTGTAAATGTGGAGCAGATCATAAAACAGATCATAAAATCATAAAATTATAAAATCAATTGTGATACAAGTCAGCTTCTTGATACTTAAAAGAGAAATCGTTTTGATGGTGTAACTTGTGTGTTCAGGCTCCATTATATTAGTATATTGATACACTTTGCCGACAAAGGATTAATCTTACCATCCCATAACTTTGTGAAGTTATGAGCGAATTTCACTGAAGCAACAAAGAGGAAACCGAGTGTCAACTTTTTCTAAAAACAGCTGTCGTAAAGCAACACAAAACACAACAAATAGCAACAAAAATAACAACAATTTGGTCTTCTCCGCAGAAACTTGACACTAGGTTAAACACATATAAAGTGCTGAAATAACCGTAAAAATATGCATTTATACGCTAAACATATCCTACCTTTCCTGATAAGAATAACAATGAGAGAGCTTAGCATGTAATCAGATCCTCGTCCACCCATATCTATGAAGTAACGTTTGAATTGTTTAGAGATATTTTGCATGGCAGATGTTTTTTCTCCTTTAAGTTTCTCAGTTTTGCGCAGAAATTCACCGCGCATCCGGCCGATAGTGCGACAAATTCTATTTTGTTTTCATTTCATTTTTCATATTTCAAGAGGAATAGTACTTGCTGAATGTCGGCCGAAAGTCTGAAGTTTGAAAATTGTCTTGTGCATCAAACTCTGAGTTTCTTTGAAATCTAAGGGATACTTAAATTATTTTCGAGTGAAACAGAAAACTGAACGAATTGATGAAGACATGTTAGAGGCTTAAAAGAAGTTGAGATGAAAGCTTTATGGCTCGTCTAACATTTTATTATGCAAACAAGATAAATCTCCCCGCACCCTTTATAGAGAAACAAGTCCATTCTCCTGGTTGGTTTTCCTAGCCATTCCAAAAGTATTCAAAAGCGTTTTATTGGAGTTTCCTTCATTCCCAGTTGTTACTGATATGTCTTTATTATATCAAGTATGGTAGAAATTCCGGATTGAAATTAATATCTATAATAAGACAAGTTGTTCAAGTTAAACAAAGCAGGAGTATGGAAGAAGGACGACGCTGTTTCGCAGCTACGGCCAATTTATTCCATTTGATATAAGCCGTTTAAATCGTACCAAACAGGAACGTCAATCAATTTTCCCTGTGACTCCGCCTAACGTCAATAAACGGGGATCTGTGAATTTGAAAACTTAAAAAATGTCAATACCAGGCACAAAGGTTATATTTGTGAAAAGCAGAATTTATAAGTGCTGTTCGTATTATTTAGTAAGTGCAAATTTTCTGTCTTTCCTACCGCTGATAAAGGGATTTGAAAAAACTCAACTTTAGCTTGGTAACAATGTGTATAAATTTACTGAGAAAAGACAGCGACTCACCATTCCTCTGAAATATTTTTATTCGCATCTTTTGAATTTCAATTACGGTTTATATACAGTTTTAAATGCAGTACAGTACCACACCTAAAAACAGAATTTCTGATGAACTTTTCGTTACGGTGAAAAATGCGGAAAAATGATCGGT